TCTGTCACCCAGGGTGGAGTGCAGTGGTGCAGTCATGCCTCACTGCAGCCTCACCTTCCTGTGCACAGATGGTTCTCCTACCTCATGCTCTGGAGTAGTTGGGATTGCAGGTGTGAACCAGCTTGCCTGGGTAATTTTTTGTATTCGTTGTAAAGATGGATTTCACCACATTTCCCAAGCTCATCTTGAACTCAAGTAATCCACCCACCTGGGCCTCCCCAAGTGCTGAAATTACAGATGTGAGCCACTGCCCACAGCTTCATCCTAGTTTCCAATTCAAATCAATAGGTTTGTATACAGCCTGTCCTCAGAATTGATCTTCCTTAGCCTAGACAGATGTATGAGGGACAAAGAATGTAGAGGCTACCTGGGAGAATGTTTGGAGTTTCCTCCCCTTCATCCTGAGAACATTCACTCTCTACAACCAAAGAAGGGTCGACTTTGTCTCCCTCAAATGTGACTTTGGCGCTCCTGAGAGGCTGGTTGGAGTCTGAAGTGCTGTGGCTGTTTGAACGAGGGACAGCACATTCCTCCAGTGAGTCCTGAGGGACTTCCTTTTCCTCAGTCTTCTGCACCCCCCTGATGAGCCAAGTAGGACAGAGATGACAAACATTAAACCAAGAGGGATTGGACCCCAGGAGTTCCCAGCTGGTTTTGATGGGAGGCATAAGGTAGTGGTCCCAGAAAGCAAAGGGGAGTTTCCATTTAAGACAGAACAGGAAATCCTCCGTTATCTGCAACAGAGCACGGCTGCCTTGGGAACCAGAGAGGAAGAGAGCAGCTGGGGTTAATTGCACTGGACAGACAGGAGCCGAGGAAGGCAGAGGCTCAGCTGCTTCTGTATGGTACAGTCTTCACAGCACTCACACAGAACAAAAGACAGTTGCCACACCGTGCGTCTAAGCTGGGTATTTAACATGCTGTGGCCAAGGGAATACACGGGTCTGAGCCTTGTTAGGCTCCGGAGATGACATGCCATGTATTTTTTTTTTTTTAATTTTAACATTGTGATGTGAAATGTAAAGTTTTCCTTGGCACTTTTCTTGGTGTTTAACTTTGGTAGGTGCTTACTAATTCCTCTGCTTGTTGTCTCTGTATTATTTATGTTCCCTAACAAGAGTCTAAGGACAACCATGAGGAAAGCGGCTTTCCATCTCATCCTGGCTTCACTACAAGGGATGACTGGTCTCCTATGTGTGTGCAGGAAGTCCCTAGGGCTAGTGATGATATCAAGTGTCATGCTTACAGGTGCCATGAAGACAATAGACAAGCAAGTCTACAGGGCTATTCCCTTGTTGGTGAGTGCATGAAATCAGTTCACTCTGCAGCAGTCTGTATCCTGAATCTGCAATCTGTGACTACCTTCACCCACCTGTGTTCTTTCTGAGATCTCTTTCATATTTTACCACACATTACCCGCTCCTGATTATTCAGTGTTACCTGGGGGCAGGTGATTCCTGTTCTTCCTCGACTTCCTCATCTGTAACATCTTCATCTTTATCTTCATCACTTTCTACAAATACAGAAGTGTCTACTCAGATATTTCCCACTTCACCTACTGGAAGCACAGTTAGCCCTATGTGCACTGAGACATGAACATCCATGTATGGGTCTGCATTGTACTGAAAACTCTCCTGTTTATCTCTAAAATATGCCCTGGCATGTTCTCCTGATCCATAAGGGAATGTGTTTCTGACCTGGAGGGTCACCATCAAGATGTGGCCAAATATTGAAAAGACGTCTTGCTCCCCAGATTACTGGAGTCTTGTCCTGCCTCTCTCTAAGCCTCAGCAGCTGTCTCCCCAATCCTGCCACTGTTCTGATACCCAGGCACAGGCTCTGTGTCCTGTCACAGCTTGCATTACAACCTGTATCTTTCTCTTAGGACAGGACAAACAAACTTGTCCCACAATACTCCGGGGACTTCAGGTCCCACATACATCGGGGGAATCATGGACCCTCTAAGTGACTTCCACAGTGCTACCCAGGGACACTCTCTCCATGGGGAGTACTCCAGTCTACACCACTTCCTACCACCAAATGCCCCCACATCAATTGCCTTCTCCAACACCACACAGCAAGGGGCTTTATCTCATCATGAAATACAGTCGTAAGTGTTCCCACATTTGAATGCAAGAGACAATTTGTCTGCCTTTACAGATTTAGAGACAGGAACTTAGGAAGGATAAATTCATCAGTTCCTCACAGTTGCTAAAGACATTGCTGAAGATAGAGCCTGGGAACCTTCATTCTTAGTGCAGGGCTCTTTTTACTCTAACAAGCTGCCTCCTGTCACAGTCTCCTTCCTGTCCTTTAAAACTGGACAGATGCTGCCTCTTGCCCCAAAGACCATGTTCCAGCAAGAAATGAGGGAAATTTGCAATCCTGTGACCTGCAACCCCATGGGTTACCCATTTCTGTTTTTGCCCAGGAAATCCTGGTCATATCATGGCTACAAATATTTAGTGGAAAGAAACACTATCCATAAAAGTGTCATTGTGGAGGTCTGGGGACTTTTATAAGCCTGGGGCTCTGTGTCATCAGGGCCTTGTTCCACCTTACCTGGGCTGAGCTTGTTGACAAGATGCTCTGCCAGCCTGTGCCCCTCAGCCAGCTGCACTTGGAGGTCCTGACCCTGGGACGTGTCAGGGTCACCGGGAGTGAGGAGGGCCTTCAAATGCTGATACAGTGAGCGGGAGGCATCTCTCCCTTCCCGTAACTTCTCCCGTAACTGGGTCAGCTCTTTTGCCTGAGAGTGAACCAGGTCTTTATACTGCCTACGGTGAGATAGCAGAGAATGTTTAATAACAAAAAGTGATGAGTGATCAGTTCTAATACTGCAACAGAGGTTTATGTGAGAATGTCCTCAAGGGGCCCTCCAAGAAGATGATCACAACATGTTTGGGAAATGCCTGTGTCCAACATATAAATATAAATATATATGTATATTTGTTTGACAGGGCATGGTGGCTCACGACTATAATCCCAGCACTTTGGGAGGCTGAGTCTGGCAGATTACCTGAGGTCACGAGTTCAAAACCAGCCTTACCAACTTGGTGAAACCCTGTCTCTACTAAAAATACAAAAATTAGCCAGGCATGATGGTGCATGCATGTAGTCCCAGCTACTCGGGAGGCTGAGACAGGAGAATTGGTTGAACCCTGGAATCAGGGGTTGTAGTTAGCTGAGATTGTGTGACTACACTCCAGCCTCGGTGACAGAAATGAGACTGCATTAAAATCCACATA